CTACCATAATAACAAAGCAGTGGTGTCTATGATATTTTGAGATCTTTGCATCAACTCTGTAATATTAAAGTATCTCCGACTTTTATTGGCAATATCTAAAATACTGCTAATATTACTATGGTTTGTTGCCAACATTCACAACTGAAGAAAACGCTAAATTTGTTAGAGGTTAGTGATATCCTATCTAAGTTTATGGATCCCCTAAAATCTATCCAGAAAGTCTCAGGTTAAGAAATACCCTTCATTAGAGGAATCTGACAAGATGATTTTTTTCTGACAAAATATTTTTAAGATTTATATGCAAAATTAGCTTTCCTGATTCACAAAAGTTCGACAACATTTGATAAATGTTTTCAAAAAGAGGAACAACAATAGTGATATGTCAACAATGCCAAATTACTTATAGACCAAAGCACTGGGTAGACCATTCAGGTTCAAACCCCGTCTTCACCACTTATTTACTGTTAACATGGGCAAGTTATTTAATTTCTCTAAGCTTCAATCACACAATCTACTAATTAGTAATACTAATAGTCTACTTCAGCTGTTGTGAGGATAAAAGGATATACTTATGCAAAAAATCTCAGCACAGAGTAAAGGCTCACTAAACACTAATAAGAATTTATTTTTCAACAACACACTGGATTACTTAAAGGCAAGATGATATTCATCGCAGGTTTTCATAACCAAAGTGGGGAGGAGACATCTAATTTAAACTATACATACCCTAACTTTAGAATTATGAATCTTTGGATGTCTTTTGGTTCTAGGCACACTCTGTAACATAATTACAGAAACCTACATAGATCATTTTCGGATCATTAAGTGAACAAACCTCATTAGTATGATGTTGACAAGACCATGACCTGAATCTGAGAATAAATGATTTCCTATGTTCTAAGAACTAGACATTAAACGATAGCAAGATGGTTATGTAAGTTATGACCAACGGACTTAATGTAATAGAATGTAGCCAATAAAATGTTAGTAAAAACAGTAGCAACACAGGAATGCACTGACGTAATGTTAAGTGGAGTAGCTGGATAATACCCAACCCTGAGTTCTCGGACTAATTTAGGGTTAGATTATGTTCCATTCTGACCACAAAGTTTCCTACCTTTTAGGTGTATTTTTCTCTGGTCCAAATTGCACTTCTTAATAGTTAATCTCATTTATTCTAATCATTAATTTATCCCACTCATCTGACATTTCAAATTTCTCCCAAGTGCCTCCCTCCCTATACCTCCCTCTCGAAGCCAAACTATCTTTAAAAACTGTCTTCGGCTCTACGGAATTCCATTAAGAGTCTGTGACCATGGAAAATTAAGTGTTTTTGTCTTTTTCCTACTGTTTTTATCATCCCATCAAGGTATTAACATGAAAAAGATAACATTCGAAAAAGAAAGATTCAGATCATTAAAGAAACTGCTAAATTATCCCTAAAACCATGACTAAGTAACAAGATCTGAGATTAATAGTAGTCTTTTTTCATCTATTGATCCATTTTAATCAGAAAACTTGATTTTGGAGATATTATATTAGAACACATTATCTCTGAACAGCTTGGATACAGACATAGAACTCAGATATAAGATAGTAAATGGTGAAATATTTAGATTCTAAATTTAAAGTGACACTGAGGACTGCTTAGAAATCAATACCGTAGCAACAGCTATCTCATTAAATAGGTAAGGCATTAAGACAGGAAAACCGCACAATCACATTTTCCAACAAAATAGGATTTTGAGAAACTGCTTTCGCTACTCATTGGAACTCTTATCCTAGTTGAAATCAGTCTGTGGAAAGTCAACTTTAGTAAAGGTCCTAACTGGAGTCTGGGTCCTTCAAGCTTCCCACAAGGGTAAGAGGACCTTTAAATCAAATAATTCTATTGCAGAGATGGAAACACTGAATAAGTACTAGAGGGGAGAATCTGAATAAAAATGAACAGCCTTACTGATAAACTTGAGTCTGTTTTTCAGTTATTAAATTCAACTCCCCCCTCTATGAGCCATGAATATTCAACTAACATAAACCAGTATCTTTTACTAGCTTCAAAATGCTGGCCTAGCTGCAAGATTTATAAAGCCATTGGCAACGAGACATAAAGAAAGGTGAGGTTTCTGTCAAGAGCTGTAGGCTGGTACACACAATTTTACAAATGCTAAAATAGCATTTTAGCAGGAGGGAGTGCCAAATTTATGATTTTACAATTTTAGGAAATCACTTTGCAATAGGATAAACGCTTAGGGTACCCATTTAATTACGAAAATGAGTTCAGGGGGGATGATCTAAAGCAGCATTTGGGAAGTCCCTGTTTCAGGACATCTGCAAATCTGCTTTGACCGTGGCATTAACGTATAAGGTCTGTACCTTCCCCTCCAAATGGGAGCCGCTTCTGCCTAGCCCCATACACGGAAAGCACTGGGCCAAAGACTCATGTGGTATTTATAATCCGATGATATGTTGAGTTGTACACTCACACAGCAAGGCAAAATAGTACAAACTTAATCACTAAAAATTTTTTATTTTTAATTTTTTGGCTGTTTAGGTAATTCATTTCAAGGAACAATAGTGGGCAACAAATAGAAGGGCTTATTTATTTCTTTGACAGTAAATATATTTTCTTCCAATTAATAATATCTAATTTCTCATGAGTTACTAAGAAAAAAAAACTCACTGTAAATTTTAAAAATTAGAGAAAACTCAAATGATACTTCAAGATTTTATAATTTTCAAATTCTGTCAAAGACTACTTCTTGAAATTCCAATTAAAAAAAAACTTAATTAAAAAAGCATTATATATTCCGCTATCATAGATATCTAGTCAAAAATATGAAAAAGAATCAAAAATGTTTTTTCATTTTCATTTAAAGCTCCATAGAGCTCAGAAACTAATAAGTCTGTTAATTTAGAAGAGTCAATACTGGGTAAGGAGTTTATCAAACTCCAAGATAATTTTCAGTAAAAATAACACTAAGGCTCAAATTTCAAGTCAATAGAAATGATATCAGATATAAAGCACATTCACTACGAAGAACTAGACAACCAATAAGTAGCTATATATTTTAAAAAAGATGACTGAGGATGGGGACAAGTGGGGAGGCAGACAGTGGCGACCTCTGGAAGATGGAATCTCTTCTCTCTGCTGGTCCTAGAAGAGAAAAGAGACACCAATAAGCATCAACACACTGTCCGAATTCCTCCCCACCCGAGACCCAGCAGTCCACAGGTGTTTCTCAACCTGACAGCCAACTTCACCTTCACAGATGGTATTCAGTGCCAAGAGGAAGTCAAAAACACCACCTTATCCTAACTTGATTAGAGCTGCCTTAAGAAAAATAAAGACTACCCAAAGTACTATTTATAGCTATTATCTATATCAAATGGGGCCTAAAGCAGCTGGGTTGAAAGTCATACTCCTTTTTATTAAGACTAGCTTTCCAAAACTATTGCACTCAACTATTTTAAATTATAAAGAGACAATTAAATACAATCTAAAAGATCTGAATTATCCCTTTGCTTGCACACATTTGTACGAAGCAAGTGGCTACAAGCAGATGTTTGGGTTATAACCGTTGTGACTCTCAATCAACGCCCATGGAGAGGATTGGGGTGATGGGTCCCTTACACCAAGTTGACAAAGGGAAATTCAACAACTTATGTAATTTGGAAAAGATTATCCTCACTCCGCAGAGCAGCTCTAGAACAAATGAAACTCAAAACATAATTACCTAGAGGGACTAGAGTACATAATACCTTCAATTCTGCAATTCAAACAGCATTCTGCAGAATCTGCTCTCCCTAGGGAGTACAGCTGGTAATTCCGAAACAACTGGCAAATCCTTGCAGAGACCATACAGCTCTCATAACCAGAACTCAGAATCGGTTACTTTCTCCTATCTTTGTGGAAGAGCTAATCACTGGAAACGCGTCTAAAGTAAACCCAATATGAAATATTCCTTACTATTTTAGTCACTCAAGCCTGAGACAAATATATGTATAAAATGATGAGTTAATCAATTAAAATGAAACAAGTACTAGCTATGTTTCCACGTTATTATTACTTTCTTCCAGGTATTGTGCTGCTCACTGGGGATGCAAAAAGGTAAGTAAGATACAATCTCTGAGCTCATAGAACTGCCGCGAACGTGCAATACTGGAAGCCCTGAAAGTCTGAAAACGGAATCTCTTGTCGACTCGCTGGCTCTGGGTCAAGGGAATATATTTTTAGATTCTTAAGTCTAAGTCTGCAACTCCAACAAGTAGATGACGGCAACGCGAAGGGGCCGGGGCACCACTGTGTAGAAGAGTTAAAACCACAACACGTTTCGTACGCGCAGTGTACTAGCCGGCAAAGGGTCCAAAGAGATGCAATGATTCTAAGACTGACTACTTCAATGTTAAGATTGAAGAAGTTCAGGAAGCACCACACAGAAAAAGACTGAGAAATCAAGATTAGGTTTGATTTTGTGAAATCGCTACGAATTTTAGGGCTGAAGGAGACCTCGGAGTTCCCATCAACAAAGGAATTCTGAATCCCAAACAAGAGCAAACCATCTGAACAATGCTCACTCCTTTGTTTACAAAACACAACAATAAGCAAACCAAAGCAACCGCTGGAAACGAGCAGACCACCTGTTTTTAGGGCACCTTTCCTGAGGGCCTCCAATGTCTTCCTAAATCACTCCACTGTACCTGCTGCAAAGTAAGAATATTCTTGGCGCCAGAGGCCAAAGCCGACCTCGTCCGAGTTGTCCGAGTTGCCGGACCTGAGGTCGACGCGACCAGTCCGCGAGGCCCGCAAGGTCAAGTTCGGAGCCTAGGCAGGCCTCGCCCCCTAGCCCTGCGGAGGCGCGCGGCCGCCCGAGCCTCTGGCCTGACGCGGGAGAGCTCGGCCGGCGCCAGCAGCCCGCGCCTCGCCGCCCCGCCCGCAGCCCGCGGCTCCGCACGCGCGGGCACCCACACCCGAAGACAGCGAGCGTCCGGGGCGCTCGTACCTCACGCCGCTGCTCCGAAAACCCCGGGACGCGCAGCCGGCTGCTCCCGGCGCCCCCAGGGGCAGCACCACGCTCCCGCCGAGCATCAACACGCGGCCCAGGCGACGGCGGAGCAGGGAAAAGCCGCGGGCCGGCACCGCCATGGCCGCGAATCGCAGGCTTCCGGACGGAGACTCCACCTCCCGCCGCTGCGGTCCTCGCAGCTGCAGGCCGGGCTCCGCCCCCACGCGGCCGGGCCGGAGAGCGGGTCCCTGCGGCAGCCGGTTCCGGGCGCCATGCCGGGGCGGGGCCCGGAGCCAAACTCAGGGCTGGGGGCGGGCCCGAGACACACTGGGAGGCGGGGCCAGGAACCAAGCTCTGAACGGGACGGGGGCGGGGCAGAAGAAACTCCGGGACTGGCAGGAGCTGGGCGAAGACCCTGGCAGCGGGCTGTGCGAAGGGGGGAGGGGGGCGGGGGGGCATTCTCTGAGACTGGTGGCTTGCCATGTGGCTTCTCACCCACCTGACACACCTTTGATCTTCCCATAGCGAGGACACAGGTAAGGCGTCTAAAGTAATCACTCCAAGCAGCATGCCTTCTTTTTCCCTAGCCAGACTTCCGGCCTACCACCTCCGAGGCTATATGATTTAAAGCCAGAAGGATGTTACTGCTTGTTTCCTACCCCACTTAGTAAGATCTTGGGATATCTGGGAGCTGGAGAGAGAAAAAAAAAAAAAAGGTGTGAGTGTGTGGAGGGAGGAGGGGGACCTGGCTGAAGAAGGCCGGAACTTTAGAATTTCTGTTGTTCTACCTTATCTCCATATTTGGAAGGAAAAAATCATTTTCCAGAGTTTATGACCAAGTTAACATAGCCTGGGAACCTGCAATGTCTGGTGAATGGACAGCTACTGAGAAAGCAAAAATATCAACTACCTCTGGAAAAGTAAAAATCAGACTGGCCATTCACTATGCTGGGATATGTTAAAAGGTAAGTTGAAGCAGACTTTTAAAAATTAAGAGTTTCTTTGAGCAAAAAATCAGTTTGAACCAGGCAGCATCCAATCTAGCAGATAGAAAGGCACTCTTGGGAGCTGTACAAAATAAAAGACTTTTTTTTTAGGCTGAAGGGAACAGGAACAAGAAAGTTATACTAGCAAAAAAGTGGGTTCTTTGTTGCAAAGTTACTTTCCTTTACGGGATGGCAGGGATCTATCAGGCACAATACCTGACTAGGGCTGATCAGGTGATTCCTGGTTGACTGATTTAAGATTCTGTTTCTGGGAGAGAGGAAACTAACGGGGAGGAAGAATTTCCTCTGCCCTTTAAGGTCCTAGTTCTAGCTAGATCAGAATCATATTTTTTTAAATATGAAATTTATTGTCAAATTGGTTTCCATACAACACCCAGTGCTCATCCCAACAGGTGCCCTCCTCAATAGCCATCACCCACCCACCGCTCCCTCCGACCCCCCATCAACTCTCAGTTTATTCTCAATTTTTAAGAGTTTCTTATGGTTTGGCTTTCTCCCTCTCTAACTTTTTTTTTTCCTTCCCCTCCCCCATGGTCTTCTGTTGAGTTTCTCAGGATCCACATAAGAGTGAAAACTGGTTAGATCAGAATCATATGGACATGAGATAGATTAACAGAGGAAAATCAAGTTTAATAGCATACATAAGGGGAATCAAAATCCAATTTAATAGCATTCAATGGGGAATCCACACAGACATTGAAATTCCGAAGATAGGCAACATGATGCTTATATGAGTTAAGGAGAGGGGTAGGGGTCTGAGGATACAAAAGGAGAGATATCATGAACAGGAAAGTGAAAGGAGATGTTTGGAAAACAGATAACCTGTTATTCAGATAAGTTTCTCAGGTAAAGAGGAATTTCTATTAATAGCTCTCTTTCTGGTAAAGCAAGCAGTTGAGGGGGAGGTAAAGAACTTTTTCTGACTCTGCTGGGTTTGGATTATTTTTAACTCAAAATAATGCTCATGCCAAAGTGGCCCATCTAAGGGTGGCCTTCCCTTGTCCTCTACAGTGATTAGGTCTCAGTTTGGTGAAGTGGGGCTTAGCATAAGTGACTCCATTTTGGATCTGTTGTCTTGTTTTTTAACAGGTAACAAACACAGATAAGAGACAGATAGAACCAGATGCAAAGGTGAAGGAAACAATATTTCTCCCAAGGTCAGGCTGCAGCTGTGAAGTATCATCACAATCCCTTTGACCACTACATTCTTACTTAAAATCCTTCTTCTCTAAAATCATAACTGTCAGAAAGTGTGCTCTTTAAAATCCTATCAGTAAGAATGAAACATCCTATCCGTCCTATTCTGTATGATGTAAGTCAGTTTCACACAAAGAAGAGCCTTTATTTCCAACGTAGGTAAAAGCTTCAGATGAGGGATTCCTGAACACATTCCACATCGATCTTAACTTTATCAGTTCCAAGGAATAGGCCCCTGGATCTCCTTTGCAGTTCCACTTCATGTTGACCCCTTTACACACAGCTCTTTCCTGCTTTGAGCCTCCCAAAATGTTGCTTTATTTAAATTTCACCTAACCTCTACCCTTCCCCAAATCTGATAAGAACCCCATATCTCCCCTTAGTTGATGAGACATTTCTCAGGTTTCCTCTGGTGTGCAGTCTCCTTCATTACAAGGAACCAGTTATTCTAATTTTGTCTTTCTACAGTTTTGTCCCTGCCAGTTGAATCTGATTAGGCTAGGATAGCGGCCAGGAGTGATGATCGAGGGGATTTGCAGCCCAGAAGCGGTTATCAGTCTAGCAAAGGCAATATTGTGTCCCCCGTGTTCAGTAATTTCTTGAAAACTAGTTCATTAAGGTTTATAAGGAATCCTAAATGGACACCACCACATTTCAAAACATAACCACATCAATTCAAAGCTTTCTTTAATCATCTGGCCTTGTCAAGAATATGTAACGGTCTCATATGGAGATACGTTGATCATTTTTTGTCCCCATCCTCTGTGTCTCATACTAGACTCTAGACAGCTCTCTTTGCACATAAACTTCATGTACTTCCTACTGATGGAACCTGAATTATTGCATTCAAAATAAGCCATGACTGTGACAGGAAGGAAAAAAATTGCCTCCACCCTCAAGGTTCTCCAGCAGGACTAAGAATTAAATTTACATGAGACAAATTAACAGGAGAAAAAAACCCACAAAGTTTTATTATGTGTACACGAAGGTCCAGTTACAAAATTGAGACCTGAAGAAATGACCAAAGTAGGGTTTTTGAACACTTTTAGACAAAGAGATGATACATTTATTTAAAAATTTTTTCTAACGTTTATTTTTGAGAGAGAGACAGAGCATGAGAGGGGGAGGTGCAGAGAGAGAGGGAGACACAGAATCCAAAGCAGGCTCCAGGCTCCGAGCTATCAGCACAGAGCCGGACGCAGGGCTCAAACTTACTAACCGTGAGATTGTGACCTGAGCTGAAGTTGGATGCTTAACTAACTGAGCCACCCAGGCACCCCAAGAGATGATACAATTTTGAGGAATTTATAGAGTAAGGAAAACAGGTGTTTGGGCTGAAATGGTAGATTAGTAAAAAGTAGTAAGACTTATTTCTGCAGCTTTTTGTGGTTTTTTTTTTTTAATTTTTTTTTTAATGTTTATTTATTTTTAAGAGAGAGACAGAACATGAGCAGGGAAGGGGCAGAGAGAGAGGGAGACACGGAATGTGAAGCAGGCTCCAGGCTCTGAGCTGTCAGCACAGAGCCTGACGTGGGGCTCGAACTCACGAACTGTGAGATCATGACCTGAGCTGAAGTAGGACGCTTAACCGACTGAGCCACCCAGGTGCCCCGCTTTTTGTGATTTTAAAGTCATTACCTCTGGTGATAAGGATATCTTTATTTATTTATTTTTTTTTAGTTTACTTGTTTATTTTGAGAGAGGAAGAGAGAGAGAGAGACAGCGTGAGTGAGGGAGGGGCAGGGAGAGAGGGAGAAAGAATCCCAAGCAGGCTCCATGCTGTCAGCACAGAGCTCAACACAGGGCTTGAACTCACAAAACTGAGACCATCACCTGAGCGGAAACCAAGAGTCCGATGCTTAACCGACTGAGCCACCCAGGCTCTTTTCACTTCTCAGTGTAGGGAGGATATTTTTCCTATGAGCCATTTGTTTCCTGCTTTCAAGGAGACAGAGGAAGGGCTGAATGTCCTTGTACTAGTTGTTACTTCAGTAATTTTTATTTGAAATAATGTGCCAGCCCTGACAGCTGTTTCTGAGTAACTCATTAAAGTCATCTTGAGGTAAGAGCTTGCATCAAGCAAAGGAAAGAAACTACCCTCTGTCGTCTGAAGGTAACCCTACCCACAAGTCTACCTACTATCTAATCTCGGTGTGCCCTCCGTGGCATTATCTCCAGAGCCTAGTCCAATGGGTGGCACACATTAAGTGCTCATGAAGCATCTGTTACATGAGTGAGTGAATGAATTGAACCTAGACTCAGCAGGAATGGAATGAAATGCCCAATGAACTCCGAAAGAGCCACCTCTGACGAGATGTGGGCAGAGCTGCTCCTCCTCCTAGAGACGTGGAGCATATAACTGAACCTGTCCCAGAGATTTTAAGTACACCAGAAAATGTGTACGGTGGCCTATTGCCAGGCTTTGGGTGACTATAAGTTTTCTGACACCCGTTGGATATCCTTTCAATAATAAAATACCCCTGTAGAACATTACACCTACTATTCTTGCAAATGGAGAAGTTAATGTCAGTGTCCTGGGTTGTACCATGAGAAATTTTCCCCGTGTTTCTGGATGGTGCCCTGGTCATCAGAAATGTAACTCCCGTGAAAGTTAGTCTAGATCATCGCTGGACTAGAGTGACATTTTTAGCTGTATGAGAAATGTGTATATTAATATTGATTTTTATGAATCTGAGGTATCACAGAGGACATGAAATGTTTTTCGACATGATTAGAGGAATTGTTTGAAGAAGAGACTTCTCCCCATAGCACTGAATATGAAAGATTGTGACCCTGTACTCAAAAACAGTTGGATTTGGTTTTTAAACTATAAATTAGATTTTCTTATATTTTGCTTTTCTAAGCTAACTTTAGCTGCAAGCATAAGCTTAATTCTGGCCATTACCTCAACAACATTGAAATGTAAATCAAAACCACAATGACACAACATCTCACACCCATTAAGATGGCTACTATAAAGAATAAAACCAAACAAAACCAAAAAACAGGTGTTGGTGAGGATGTGAAGAAGGTGGAACCCTTTGGGGGTTCTCTTGGTGGAACTGTAAAGTG